CCACTGTGCCCGGCTGCTTCTGACATATTTTTAAGAAAGATTAGGCTGATGCTATGGTAACTCAGTTATTCATGATACATGTCATCTTGTAAGTAGGAGTATTCAATATTCATGATTTTGAAGCTGTTCCAGAGTGCTATAATCACCCCACTTGACAGACTTCAGAATTCGTTGAAAATCTCTGGAAATAATTAGCAAGTTATTATCACAGGCTCTAAACAGACCTTCAAAATGCATTACATAGTATTGGTAAAACAGATTGTCAGTCTGCCAAAAGTAGTCACTTTGATTTGATTTGCCTTGAATGAAGTTTTTCAAATGTAAAGCTAAAGTCTTCAGGATCACTGCACTGGGTTTCTGTGGGACAACACTGAACAGGGCTGCCACTGAAACACCTTGGATGAGAGCCTCAAGCTCCCTGAACACAGCACCCAGCACACTACTGGGAGAATGACTGGGACTCAAAACTGTGTGCAATGAATGTACTTATGAGCTTGTTGGAGAGGCAGTAAAGAGGTGGTATGTAATTACCTCAAATTAGTACTACTACAGAGTAATCAGTGCTGGTAAAGTAAAAGTAGCGCTAAAGTAGTACTAATAAAGTAGTACTAATAGCCCTACACTAGTAGTAGTAATAAAGTGGCATTGCTATTGATTCTATCCATCTATCTACCTACCTGTCTGGATGGGAGGACACAGGATTTGACTGATAAGATTGGGCTTAGCAGTGAAAAGAGCTCATGCATACTTTGAGCAGGTATGCACTCAAACTTGGTGTCATGTGACTGTTCTGAATTCCAGAACCATGGCTAAAGGGTGGAAGTTTTGTTTGACTGTGTCTCACATTTTCCTTTTGGTCTATTGTCTAACACATGTTGCTAGAATTCTTTTTACTCTGACTACCTTTTATGTACAGACAACGCTGTTACTGAGATCACACCCAAGCGGATCGGAGATTGGCCCAATATGTACACCTACACCCAGGCCTTGGGAGAAATGGTGGTGCAGCAGGAGAGCAGGAGCCTAACCATCGCCATCATAAGGCCCTCCATTGTGGGAGCAACGTGGCATAAGCCTTTCCCAGTAAGGCCACTTACCTGGATTCTGTGTTTTGCTTTCAGACTAAGGTTTTTCTAGCCCAATTATTTTTTGATGTCTTTCTTCTTCTTCTCCTCAGGATTCATAGCTAAGTGCAGCCAATCAAATATGAACCCATTATACTAGGGCAAAATCCGGCTTTGGGATCATGAGGCTCTTCTGGCAGTTACCCTGACTATCTTAGAGTTGGATGGAGATCTTAAATTAGCTTCTAACTACTCTAGTCTCAAAATTCCCATGGGTGATGTTTTTATATCTTGGCTTTCCCACTATAGCTTAAACAGACCAGAATGTTCTTGATGGCCAACTTGATAGTATTGCAACTAACTGCCAGGGTAAACAAGAGTTACAAAGCTCACAGAAGGATCTCAGTTTGGGAATAGTAATTTTTTTTAACCTCAGTATATACTGCTGTGTCCTTCTGAAAGTACTTTGAATTCTTCTTCAAAGCAGGTCTGTGAAGCTTTGGGGGCAGATAAATTCCCGCTCCACCACTTACGGGCAATGCGACATTTTTGAGTTGTTCTTTCCATAAAACAGGACAGATACTACTTTGGAGAGTTGGTTTAATGAGACAATGTATGAGGAGAGGAGTGCTCAGACTCCAGTAAAAGGCGGGTCCCTACTAAAAAGGCTCAATTAATATTAGTCCCTTCATCTTCTCCTCCCATATCTCTTGTCTTCCATTATACACATTTCGACTTTTATACTGTAAGGTAAAGGGACATAATAAGGTCAGCTGAATGGCTTGGGGCTTAGGAAACAAACTCAGAAAGACATTTCCCTCTAACTACTCTTAAGCGTAATCTTTCCTGTAACATCTTTAAGCAAGTCAACACACATTACTACCAATCATGTTTTCAATGTTCTCCTAAGGAGGCTAAAATCAGGACTGAGGTGGAGAAGGATGGTTGGTGAATTGCTTAGCAGATCATGATATAAGGACAAGGTCCACCGTAGCCCTTAAGATGTCACAAAACGCTGCAAAACCATTCATGGCTCCTGCTAGGAACAACAATCCTGGCCAAATTTTAACTATTGGACAAAATGCAGAAAATAGCCAATGCTTTGCCATTGATCTTTGGGATCTTAATAATACTGAATTAGATAGTTCTATTAGCTGGGGTCTCAGTGCCCTTGTTTGAAATTTATTGAGATTAGACTGCAGATGTTCCAAGATAACAACAATTTTCTAAAATGTGTAACCAATGGAAATCTTCTTTCTTTTAGGGTTGAGTTGATAATCTAAATGGACCTAGCCGAGTCATTATTGAGGTATATATAGGGATGAAGAAATAACTCTGAAACGTAGTGGAGGAATAGTAACAGAATTCTTAGTGCTGGCTTAGCTTCATTGATCCAAAAAGGTAAATGCTACTTTACTATCAATTGAAGCATATTATTTCAACGATTCTGGTTATAATATGAAAGCAGGATGAAACTATTTTTTTCTTTTAGAATTTTTTTATCACGAAAACACGTAAAGTGCTATCAATTACTCTTTGAGAGTTCTATTTTGAAAAGTCTTTGAGAATTAAGGATTTCTTTTTTTTTTTTAAAAAAGAACTTTTTTAAACTTAAAAATAAAACCAGCAAAAGTCTTATAAAAATGAAGCAAGTAGCCCAAAAAATGGTTAGGGTTAGGGTTAGGGTTAGGGCTAGGGCTAGGGTTAGGGTTAGGGCTAGGGTTAGGGTTAGGGCTAGGGGCGAGGACTAGGGCTAGGGGCGAGGACTAGGGCTAGGGGCTAGGGTGATTGCAGATTCGGCTGCTCAGGGTATAGTGTTGTGTTTATTAGCTTTCAACAATGCTAATCCCGAGTGCCAGGCTACTCTGCGACCTTTTAGAGGGAAAGCACATTTAGTTGATGATTATATCAAGGCCTTTGATGGTATCAGAGGTAATCTGCTTAAAGCTACTTTGTTGGCACAGACAATGGCAGGACTGAGAGTGGATAAAGGAAATATTCTTTTTCCTAGAGCTTATATTAACTGTGGGAAGCATGGTCATACTAAAACATAATGTAGAAAAAATCAGCCCACCAGATAGGGGAAGAAAGAAAACTGCTGATACTGAAATATGTCCAGATTGTGAAAAAGGAAAACATTGGGCTAATCAGTGTCACAAGATGGGAACCCGATTTTGGGAAATGCTATGAGGAGACCGTCCCAGGCCCCATTCCAAACGAGGGCATTTCCAGCTCAGACCATTCCCTCATCGCTGTACAATGTCTGTCCCCCACCACAGCCGGTAGTACCGCAGTAGATTTATGCTGCACAAAAGCTCTGAGCCTTCTGCATGGGGTACTCCCGCAAAAAGTTCCAATAGGGTTCTGTGGACCCTTGCGACTGGGGATGATAGGATTACTTCTAGGAAGGTCTAGTTTAAATTTAAAAGGAGTACAAATACATACAGGAGTCATTGATTTAGGTTACAGTGGGGAAATTCGAACTGTTATATCTACGTCTGTTCCCTGGAAACAGAGCCAGGAGAGCGTATAGCACAGCTCCTGATTATGCCATATGTGGAAGTGGGGAAAAGTGAAATTAAATGAACAGGAAGATTTGGAAGCACAAATAAACAAGGCACAGCAGCTTATTGAGTGAATCAGATTACTGTTAAATGTCTTACCTGTGAAATAACTATTCAGGGAAAGAAATTTAAAGGTGTGGTAGATACAGGAGCAGACACTTCATTTCTCTGTAACATTGGTGATCCGCGTGGCCAATTCAATTTAACATAGTTTAATTTAACATAGTTGGAGTCGGTAAATCCCCTGAGGTATATCAAAGTAGTTACGTTTTGCATTGTGAAGGGTCTGATGTACAACTTGGGACTATTCAGCCGGTTATAACTTCTATACCTATAAATTTATGGGGGAGAGATTTATTACAACAATAGGGAGCACAAGTTCTAATTCCAGAACAATTATATAGCCCCCAAAGTTAACATATGGTGCATTAAATAGGGTATGTCCCTGGTATGGGACTAGGAAAAAATTTGCAAGGTTTGAAAGAACTGCTTAAGCGGAAAGACAAAGTTCTCGCCGAGGTTTAGGATATCATTTTTGATGGTGGCCATCATTAAGCATCCAGAACCTATACCTTTAAAATGCTATCCAAATTGGCTAGAACAATGGCTGCTGAGTAAAGAGAAACTGCAGGCTTTAGAGGACTTGGTTACTAAACAATTTTCGATAATCATTTTCCTAAAACAAAACTGTTTGAATTTTTGAAATTAATGAATTGGATTCTCACTAAAATAACTAAATTTAAACCAATTGAAGGTGTGAGAATGTTTTTACAGATGGGTCTAGTAATGTTAAAGCTTCTTATTCTGGCTCAAAATGTAAAGATTTTCAGACGCCCTATACTTCAGCTCAAAAAGCAGAGCTTTTAGTTGTAATTGAGGTATTGAATGATTTTAATATGCCTATTAATGTGGTTTCTGTTCTTCATATGTGGTCCATTCCAGAGAATTAAATGAAAATGCTCAGTTACAATTTCATACAGATGAACAACTGATGACTTTATTTATCCAATTGCAAACAGCAGTTAGGAGTAGAATGCCCCCTTTTTACATCACTCGCATTAGGGCTCATACAGCTTTTCTAGGACCTTTGACTGCAGGGAATCAAATGGCTGATCGCCTAGTTGCTACTGCCATATCTAATGCTAGACAGTTTCACAATTTAACCCATGTTAATACCTCTGGTCTCAAATGCAGATGCAGCATTACGTGGAAAGAAGCTAAAGCTGGGCGGTTCCAAGATGGCCGAATAGGAACAGCTCTAGGCTACAACTCCCAGCGTGAGCGACGCAGAAGACGGGTGATTTCTGCATTTCCAACTGAGGTACCGGGTTCATCTCACTGGGGCGCATTGGATAGTGGATGCTGGACAATGGGTGCAGTCTACCGAGCGAGAGCCGAAGCAGGGTGAGGTGTTGCCTCACCCAGGAAGTGCAAGGGGTAAGGAATTCCCTTTTCTAGCCAAGGGAAACCCTGACACACAACACCTGGAAATTCGGGTCACTCCCACCCTAATACTGTGCTTTTCCAAGGGTCTTAGCAAGCTGCACACTAGGAGATTATATCCCCCACCTATCTTGGAGGGTTCCATGCCCACAGAGCTTCGCTGATTGCTAGCACAGCAGTCTGAGATCTAACTGCAAGTTGACAGTGAGGCTGGGGGAACGGTGCCCACCATTGCTGAGGCTTGAGTAGGTAAACAGAGCGACCGGGGAGCTCAAACTGGGTGGAGCCCACTGCAGCTCAAGGAGGCCTGTCTGCCTCTGTAGACTCTACCTCTGGGGATAGGGTATAGCCAAACAAAAGTCTACAGAAAGCTCTGCAGATTTAAATGTCCCTGTCTGACAGCTTTGAAGAGAGTAGTGGTTCTCCCAGCACGGAGTTTGAGATCTGAGAACAGACAGACTGCTTCCTCAAGTGGGTCCTTGAACCCTGAGTAGCCTCACTGGGAGGCATCCCCCAGTAGGGGCCGACTGACTCCTCACACAGCCAGGTGCCCCCCTGAGATGAAGCGTCCAGAGGAGCGATCAGGTAGCAACATTTGCTGTTCAGCAATATTCACCATTCTGCAGCCTCCGCAGCTGATACCCAGGCAAACAGGGTCTGGAGTGGACCTCCAGCAAACTCCAACAGACCTGCAGCTGAGGATCCTGTTAGAAGGAAAACTAACAGAAAGGACATCCACACCAAAGCCCCATCTGTACATCACCATCATCAAAGACCAAAGGTGGATAAAACCGCCAAGATGGGGGAAAAACAGAGCAGAAAAGCTGAAAATTCTAAAAATCAGAGCACCTCTTCCCCCTCCAAAGGATTGCAGCTCCTCACCAGCAATGGAACAAAGCTAGATGGAGAATGACTTTGATGAGTTGAGAGAAGAAGGCTTCAGATGATCAAACTTCTCCGAGCTACAGGAGGAAGTTTGAACCCATTGCAAAGAAGCTTAAAACCTTGAAAAAAGATTAAACGAATGGTTAACTAGAATAACCAATGTAGAGAAGTCCTTAAATGACCTGATAGAGCTGAAAACCATGGCATGAGAACTACGTGACAAATGCACAAACTTCAGTAACCGATTCGATCAACTGGAAGAAAGGGTATCAGTGTTTGAAGATCAAATGAATGAAATGAAGTGAGAAGAGAAGTTTAGAGGAAAAAGAGTAAAAAGAAATGAATAAAGCCTCCAAGAAATATGGGAGTATATGAAAAGACCAAATCTATGTCTGATTGGTATACCTGAAAGTGACGGGGAGAATGGAACCAAGTTGGAAAGCACTCTGCAGGATATTATCCAGGAGAACCTCCCCAACCTAGCAAGGCAGGCCAACATTCAAATTCAGGAAATACAGAGAACACCACAAAGATACTCCTCGAGAAGAGCAACTCCAAGACACATAATTGTCAGATTCACCAAAGTTGAAATGAAGGAAAAAATGTTAAGGGCAGTCAGAGAGCAAGGTCGGGTTACCCACAAAGGGAAGCCCATCAGACTAACAGCGGATCTCTCAGCAGAAACTCTACAAGCCAGAAGAGAGTGGGGGCCAATATTCAACATTCTTAAAGAAAAGAATTTTCAACCCAGAATTTCATATCCAGCCAAACTAAGTTTCATAAGTGAAGGAGAAATAAAATCCTTTACAGACAAACAAATGCTGAGAGATTTTGTCACCACCAGGCCTGCCCTACAAGAGCTCCTGAAGGAAGAACTAAACATGGAAAGGAACAACTGGTACCACCCCCTGTAAAAACATGTCAAAATGTAAAGACTGTCAATGCTAGGAAGAAATTGCATCAACTAATGAGCAAAATAACCAGCTAACATCATAATGATAGCATCAAATTCACACATAACAATATTAACCTTAAATGTAAATGGGCTAAATCCTCCAATTAAAAGACACAGACTGGCAAATTGGATAAAGGGTCAAGACCCATCAGTGTGCTTTATTCAGGAGACCCATCTTATGTGCAGAGACACACATAGGCTCAGAATAAAGGGATGGAGGAAGATCTATCAAGCAAAAGGAAAACAAAAAAAAGGCAGAGGTTGCAATCCTAGTCTCTGATAAACTTTAAACCAACAAAGATCAAAAGAGACAAGGCCATTACATATGGTAAAAGGATCAATTCAATAAGAAGAGCTAACTCTCCTAAATATTTATGCACCCAATACAGGAGCATCCAGATTCATAATTCCTAAACAGTATAATTGTGAATTAGTGATGAACATATTTTTGAAAGTTATTTAAGAGATTCAAGCAAGCACCCAGGTTTGAGAGCCATTGACACAAGGCAGTCCTGTCACTCACAGATGAAGCTGTTAAGACATCCAGATCAGTCAGACCTGACAGTCACTGCACAC